GGACGGGGGGCGGGGGCGGGGCCGGGGTGGTGGTGGATTTGATCTGTTCTCAGTATTTGCGGTGACTCTGTGCTGGACCAAGGCCCTGCGCATCCCGGCCGTGCCCGCCCGCTGCAGCTCCGGGTGTTCTGGTGGTCAGGCCAGCGCGAGAGACCGTCCAAAGGGCCGGCCCAAATCCCCTCCAGCCCTGGCGGGAAGCCCCTCCAGGTGCCCCGAGGCAGGCGTGAGTGCGAGCAAGCACCCGCTACTTGTTCTCAGGGGCCCCAGTCCTTGCTACTTGAACTAGAAGGCAGAGACGCCAAGGCCAACAGGGGCATGCCTGCCCCTGCGTGCTCTCAGACTGGCCGAGGAGAGGGGGTAAGAGGCAGCCGGGGTCGGTCGGACGCACTGCACGGAAGGCTGAACAGCTGTGGCTGAGGGATGGAGCTGGCCGCCCACAGCAAGAACGGAAAGCCCACCGTAACATCCCTGTCACCGTTCACCCGCTCCTGCTTGCATGCCACTAGTGATAACAGGCTCACTCGACGACCAGCCGATTCCATTAGGGAACAGAATTCAGTGTCCCAACTCTGCGCCCAGTGTCCTCTCCCTGGCTCACACTCCGCTCAGCCTTTCCAGCCTCCAAGCCCCACCTGGGGCATACCCAACCTCCAGCCACGCCCCCTCCCCACCTCGGGTGTTGGTGGCCATGTCTGCCACTTTCTGGAAGGCATCCAAGAAGGCCACAGCAGCCAGCACAGTGGTCCTGGGGAGATGGACAGTGGGACGGTCTGTGGGTGAGGTGTCCTCTCCTCTGCCCGTCCCCTCCCCAGCTGGGGCACCCTCAGCAGCCTCACCTCAGCTGGGAATGCAGCTTCGTGGCCTTGGAGTTGAAGTCCTCCCAGATGGGGTAGGAGCTCTGCCGAGGAGACAGAGAGGTAATGAGATTCTGGAGGCTGGAAGGCTCCACCTGGGCTGGGCTCCCCACATGCCTCCGTCCAGATTCTGGGCAGTTTCTCAGGGACTGGCCCTGCCCCTATGGAGAGGGAGGCTCCTGGGCCTTCTGGGACGACCGAGGACCAAGGGCAGAGCCATGGGGATTGAACAAGGCCTGGCCCTGGGAACAGGTGCCTTTGCTCATCCCTCCCTCCCTGACAGGAAGTCTGGACAACTGTCTACACTGGCCACCGTTTTGGCCCACATCCTCCCTCAGAGGGGATGGAAACATTAAATGGCAGGGCTCAGGCAGGCCAGGTCTCAAACTGAGGCCTCTGGGGGGCCCCACCCTGGGCCCCGGAAGCTGTGACCGGCCCGGACACCCATCCATCCCAGGCCAGCAGCAGTGGCTCCCAGGCCTGGGGAGGCTGTGACTGCTGCAGGGCCCAGCCAGCCTGTCCGGGACAGCCAGGCCTCAGGCTGAATGGGGCCTTGTGCAGCCAACAGAGCCACCTTTCTCCACCCCCAGTTCCCCTCCCCTCCTGGGGACACAGTGTGGCCTTTATCCCAGCCTGGCCCAAAGCTCTGAGTTGGGAGGGGGTTTCCCGGTGGGGAGGCTTAGCTCCTGGCGACCAAGCTGTCCAGTCTGATCAAGGGGCTTTTCTGGCTAATGCGCCCTCCCATGGCGGATGGGTCCTGGAGAAACCTCAGCCCTGGCCTGAGAGCCCCGTGGAGGCCTGGATGCTTGAAGGGGAGCCCAAGGCCAGCAAAGCCCCAGCCCGAAAGGGCTTCTAAGCCTCCCTTCCATGTAGGCTGGGGTGCTCGGCAAACAGGGAAGGCAGAGACCCCAGCCCTCATGGCTTCAGAAGGAAGCTCTGCCAGACTGGAACCCAGGGGCAGGTTCGAGATGGCCTCTCCGGCTGAGGACAGCCTGCAGGGGTGGAAAGGAGACAGGACAGCTTCTGACGGCCTTAGAAACTCCCTCTCCTCCCAGCCCAGCCAGTGCCCAGGGAAAGCAAATATTTGAGAAGTCCACACAGGCTGGAGCGGGATGGGGGAGGCTGTGGGTGGGCTGTCTCCATGTGCGCACAGTTCAGGGTAAAGGAGCCTGGTACGTTGTCCCTGGCAATCCCAAGGAGCTGACCCTCACCCTGGCACCCCCAAGAGTCTTCTGAAAGATGGCATGCTTACATCACCTCCACATCCCAGCCCTGAAGCCTTGCTAAGACCTCCAGGGAGAAGAGCCACTGCTGAGGAGGCAGGGGAGCAGGGGACCAGGGGCAGGTGTCCTGACCCCCAGGACACCTTCTCAGCCCCTCTGCAGCCTCTGGGCAGTCTCAGAACACAAGGAATTAGGAGAAGCTGGGGACAGATCAGTTCCTACCCCACGAAAGGCCTTAGGCTGAGGCCCATCTCCCTGGCCTCCAGCCAGCCAGGCTCACTCCATTCCAGACCTTCACCCCCTCAGCTTTCCCAGTGGGGAGGGGACAAGACACAGCATGGGGGGAGGCCTGGCCCAGTTCCTCCTCAACAGGGGGACCTGAGCACCTTGGTCTCTAAGGGCCGGGGCTCCACCCTCACCGGTAGGTAATTCATAGAACCCGGAGATAAAGAGGTGTGTGTGGGGGGGCAGAGCGGCCAGTGTCCCAGGGGAGGGTCTTCAGGGTTCACCTGGGCCCATGCCCTCACCCTGGCTATGCCCTGGCTGTCAGACTCTAGGACTCTGGGTGGCAGTGACTGCTGCTGGCCAAGTGCTTGTTGCGCTGTGTGAGCGCGTCGTCGGGTCCTTAGCACAGCCCCGTGAAATAAATACGACTATCACCCCCATTCTACAGGTCAGGAAACTGAGGCTCAGAGAGATTAACTGACTTGCTCAAGGCCTCCACACGGCAGGGGCAAGATCTGATCCCACGACTGGTCACTACACCTGCCTCCAGGGTAGAGAGAGGGGGTCAGCGGGCAGCAAGGGGAGGAGGGGGTAGGAACTGCAGGGATGGGAGAAACACCCACTCTGTCCCCAGGGCTTGTCACTAGAGGTGCTCGGGACCCCTGGCCCTCGGAGACAGTCTCTGATCTGGCGGGGGTTGTAGTCCTGGCTGTGATCCCAGAGAGGGGGCTTTCTGGGTGACCCTGGGCCAGGGCTCCACTCTGGGCCTCAGCTTCCTCATCTGTCAAATTGGGCTGGGAACCGCACTTACGTCACTGGGTCCGTGGGGAGACTTGAGGAGGCCCTGCAGGGGAAGCACTTAGCACCGTGCCCAGTACACAGTAAGTGCTCAGTTAATGCTGGCTAAAAAAAAAAAGGGACTCGGGATCCCGGCTTCTCTGCTGGAAGCCCCTCCCACCCAGCAGGGCCCAAGCCTGGGCCATACTCCCCACTCTTGGGAGGACAGGCAAAATTTATGGGCCCATTTCCTGGATGGGCCAGTGCTGAGGAGAGGCCCCCTTCACTCCATTGAAGGTGCTTTGCCCTGTCCTGCCATCTTGGGCAAGCCTGTGCCCCTCTGAGCTTCAGTGGGCGGCCTGGCACCCACCCAGTGGGCATCTGAGCTAAGTGAGGCACAGAGGCAGGGAAAGCTCCTGAGTGCCCGGCCCCAACCCTGACCCGGTGCCCTCCTCCCGACCCTCCAGCCTCCAGGTGCAGCTCGGGGCCTCCAGCCTCCAGGTGCAGCTCGGGGCCTCCAGCCAACAGGTGCAGCTCGGGGCCTCCAGCCTCCAGGTGCAGCTCGGGGCCTCCAGCCTCCAGGTGCAGCTCAGGGCCTCCAGCCTCCAGGTGCAGCTCGGGGCCTCCTGCCTCCAGGCGCAGCTCGGTCCTGGGGGGTGTTGTGGGGCTCGTGGACGTGCTGTGGACAGGCTTCATGGGGCAGGCTCAGTCTCCTCAGTTCAGCCCCCTTCCTCTATGGAAGCCCCGCTGCTTCTGTGGCTCAGATCACTGAGGGAAACAGCCAGAAACTGCTCCCCAAATCCAGGTGATCAACCTCCAGGTGGCCCAGTCCCCTGCTCTGTCCTTGGCCTGAACACATGCATATGTCCTAGGTACTTAGCATCGCCCCAGGTGAAACCTCCACATGTCAGAAAATCCGGCCTGAATATCTCCCTTTTCCTTCTGTCTGATCTCAGAGTTCCTTGCAAATTGCCTGAGGAGGGAGGGACAGTTCTGTCCCTCTCTGAGCAGAGAGGCTGCCAGCGGGAGGAGGGTGGCGGAAGGTCCCATTCTCTGCCAGCACTGCGAGTAGCTGGGGGCGGGTAGTCTGGGCTGCCTGGTCCCAGGAAGGGATCCCAGTGCCAGGGCTGTGATATCCACAGGACAGGAGGGCCTTCTGAGGGCAGAGAGAGGCCAGGACTTCTGAGGGCTGCCAGAGGGGCCCAGAGGGAGAGTTGCAAGGGATGGAGGTCTCAGGGGAGCACCCTATGGGGGGGGGGCATCTATATGCTGCTCACCCTGTAGTCCTAGGTGGGGACTGCCTCAGGCCTTTTGCAGGGGCAGGGATCTGGCCGCTGCCCCTAGGGCTGTTCCCCTGGCAGCACCGGGAGCCTCCGGAAGGGCCTGCCTGGGCACTGTGGGGCCAGCAGCCCTGGTGTGTGGTATTTCCTCCTGGGCCTGTGAGGTCACCGAGGAATTGTGTGTTGTATACTTGGGGGTGTGCGATAGGGTGGGGGCTCTCTGGAGTTCACGTGGAGAACCCAGTTCTTTCCCCTGCCCTGCAGTCCTGCCTCAGAGGAGAAAGGTAGGAGCGCGGTGCCCGGCCCCGTCCTGTCACTGGAGCTGGAACTCCTCCCTGCCTAGTCAGCCTGCGCCGGCCCTGCCAAGCCCTGGCCTCTCTGGGGAGAGGCTCTCCCTTGCTCCCCAGATGAACAGAGAGGGATGAGGTCAGGAACAGAGTTGGACAGTCTCCTTAATGACCTTGACCATTCCCAGGCCTCAGTTTCCCCAACTAGTGAGTCAGTGGTGGGCCAAGAGCTGGTGGCTTGCCCCCCACCGCCTTGGCCAATCAAGGTGGGGGAGGGGCTGGGGGTTGGTGCTGAAGGCCTGCGGTGCTAGTACGTTCCCCCTTGGGGCTGCTCCAGAAACCCCAACCCTCTCCCTTCCTCCCTCCAAGGTGAGGACAGAGGGACAGTCAGCCTAAAGTCCTTGGAGTCCTGCAGCTTCCTAGGGCCTGTTTCAGGGGACCTGGGCAGGGGTGGGGGTGGGGGGGTGCAGCAGTCGCAGGGTCGAGGCCTCGCAGGGTCGAGCACAGAGGCCAAGGCCGGCGGGGAAGGAGTTAATGCTTCTCCGCTTTATTATTTTTCCCTGCTTTGGCGGTGACAGCATTGTCTGGGCTCCAGGGCCGTTGGGGGCGGGGGGGGGGTGGTAGGTGGGGGGCGCAGGGTGCACGGTGGTGGTAGGGGGCGGAGGCCGGCGAGACCCGGGACCCATCAAATTTAGGGCCGTGGAGCCGACACCGGAGCCAAACCCCATTCATGATTTGGGGGTCGGGGGCGCAGGGAGCCCGCGTGTGAGCAGGTCGGGACCCCACGGGGGGCGCTACGACCTGCCGACCCCGGGCCTTTAAAGACCCCGGGCGCCGCACGGACACCCCGACACACGAATACGCACACCCCCTCAGACGGACACCCCGAGACCCAGGCAACACAGCAGACGCAGGCCGGACGCGTTCAGACAAGGACACACACACACAGCGCGGCGCGCGCACACAGCGGGGCCCCAATGCCCGCCGCCACTCGTCCCTAGAGGGGACCCGCACCCGCACCCGCGCGCCCTCCGGGCAGCCGGCCCCGCCGCACCCCGTTACCTTCATGTCGTTGACGATGGCCTGGAAGAGCCCGCCCAAGGCGCCGCACTCCTTCTCCGCCGTCTCCATGCTCGGGCC